GTGGATTAAATATCGAATAGAAACTGGTGTAGCAGTTCTTCTTTATGTGATTTACATTATTTCTACGATCTTATTTATAAATACAGAAAAACGCGAACACATAAAAGGGTATTGAAAACAAAGATTTTGGAACAAAGAAAGTGCAAAAATTAATGGAAAATCAATACAACACATTGTTCTTTTTTCCAGCATCAGGAATGATTTAATTCGTTTTTTCAAAACACACCGTTATGATGTTCGCTGTTGGTTTGAAACCAGAATTATTATTCCTGATATAATTGATATGATATAGTATATGCGTGCTTTCGCATAATCAGATTACCCCCCCCAATTTAACAATGTTTATATATGGACAACGCAAGCCTTTGTTAACATTAAACATAATACAGTTTTGTGTCGGTAAAAATATATTGAAGCATCGTGTTAGAGAATATTATTCATTTTTGGTTGGTTTTAAGAGAAACTTTTGTTATCATGGAGCACAAATTGTTCGTTTTGATTATGTAACTCTTTGACTTGGGTGGCTGCCCCGAAAAACCGAAAAACCGATAACAGAGCCACCGGTTTCATTTCGGGGTACATCTCACAGCTACGTAAAGGGCGACAACGATAACTGCTTTACGCCTTGTCGTATTTTCGTATCAGGTTTGTATTGTTTTAAAGTATATTTTTATATGTCACTGTTTTTTAATTCGCAGTGATACGATCAAAATCCAACGTTCACATCAAAACGCATGCGTTTTTTAACGTTGCCACTGTTGTTGAGTCTTCGGTTACTGACGATTTATAAATCGTCAGTAACCGAAGATTTATAAATCAGTAATAGGAAACACTGCAACAGTAGTCTATAGGAACATTTTCATGGCGTTCTTGGTTAAAGTATCTCGATGTATATACAGTAAGTAAACTGTGGCGTAAGGAAAACTAATTATACTAATAAACGAATACTAACTTATTTGTATACTATTTTGTTACGATAGAGTCGACCATGCAATAATGAGTAAAAAAAGTAATGTATGAACGATTACGTCTTGCCTAATTTAAGGGACGTGTTTTATCTACAGGAAATATTACAAATCACGAATTCAGACGACTAGAGAGAATTTTATAGCTGGATTCATTTATAGGCGTAAAGCTAATTGCAGTCGGAACCGTTCTCTAAAAGCCATTAGATTTTACAAAACATGTAGAATTTGATTTAAAAAAATGCTAAATCAAAGACATTCACTTAGCAATAATGTTAAAGCAATAAATTTGCGGTAAACCATGAGAATCTGAAATCAATAGAATCAAATTTTCACACATGTCGCAAGGGTGCATTAAAATACCTGTAACAGTCATACAGTAAGCTTAGCTCAAATATGAAAATGGTTTATTGTAATATGAAGGCGTGATAAAATAGTATTACCATCAGCGACATAACCTTTATCATTGTTATTAGGTTGAAGACAATTAAAATAGGTACAATAAAAATGCAATCCAGCATAAATACAATTTAAAATGATAAATGTAATAAAATGCAACACATTGTTGATTTTTTTTTAATCTGTAACTCCGTGTAAAGTCGATATTGTGTTACGCACTCTTTGTACTGTCCCTTAAATATACAAGAACAGGTATTTATCCAGAATTGTTTAGCATCTCACATTTGAATCCTCTCGTAAAAAGTAGTTTTACGTTTCAAATTGGTGTAAACAACTCTGAAGAGCTCTGCAACACCCACGTCGTAGTTTCTTTTTTTCTGGAGGAACCACTTCTCTACAGGTCTTTGGCAGCTCTTCCAGGCTGCAGCGAAACCAAATACAACGCAACCATAAGTGAAGAGGAAAGCTTCTCTGCGTTCAAGACATCTACTTCGGTGCACAGTGAACCTTTGTTGCTTGTCGGGTAAGAGTTCCAAAGCATAGCACTACGCTCCACTCCAGGGTGGCCTTTCTCATCTACTCTTTCCACTGTATTCATTTCATTACTTGAGAGGGGACAAAAAGTAACCCGTTGTGATTATAACAAGCACGAAGCGGTTTTAGAGATCTATACAGACGTGTTTAGATTTCCCCAAAGTTCCTCGCCTCTTTAAAATTCTTTAAGAGAGGTGGATAGGTAAGCGTTCTGCAGTGCTGACGCAGTTTATGAGTGAAAAGGCACATCCGAGTTGACATAGTTTAGCCTCAGAACTGACCCTTGATCTCACACTGATAAACCAAGATATGAAGACGTCCTGAGCAAACTTTTGTGTAGAAAAAGAACAGTTTATTTGAATGACTAAAGTGACACACCGCCCTTCCACCCAGCGCCCCACAAACACGGGCAAACCTTTTTTTTCTCCTTTTACAACAACCTAGCCTCTTGTAGCCAAACACGTCGCCGAGCTTTTTCAATTAAAGTGGAATTAGGCTGCCCAATCAAATTAGCTCACTATTAAAGCCCTCTTTTATTAAATCTTAGTACTGTAGACATATTAGGTTTCACTGACACTTGGGCCAAAAATAATATAAATAGTAATAATCATTTAAGATTGGTTTGGCCTCCAGGTCGTTGTGTGAATTGGACAATGGGGACAGTTGACAACATAACTTATTTAAAGCTTTTATTATTACATATGGAGGGACACGTTATGTAAGTAAACAAAAAGAGAAGGAAGAGTGGTATTATTACTACATATATAGTTCATCAATGGCGCCCTAAAGGGGCTTCTCAATAACACGTAAGGTGTTGAGTTTCCTCTCTCTTTCGCCATTAAATGAGCTCTAGCTGAGATGACACTGTCAATCTGAGCCTGGTGTTTACACAGTTATATTTGATGGGAGAAAGTAAACAGTCTAACTCTGCCAGGCAAGGGAGCGGCAGGATTATGTTTCCATGGCAGCCAACTTTAGGAGCCATGCAATCTTAATTTGAAAATACAGTGAACTTGTTCGCTGTCACCTTTCCTACACTATGTTTTGGAGCTGCGCCATCCCACAAGCTTTGCAGGGGTTGAAGCCATGTTTAAAGTGTTATTCGAGACACTACTTTACTGAAGCTTATGTTAAAAAATTAGCAAAGACGAAATACACTCAACCTTGCACGCTGCGCAAAAAGAAACGTTCTTTCCATTTCTCTTTTTTTTTTCCTCCTTGTAAAAGTGTAAGTTTGATATAACAAAATTCCTTTAGGCTTTAACCTATTCCACCTAAATACCTACACATGCAGTCAATTTTAAAAATAAAACGAATATTACTTAAGGGTAAATTCTCAAACCTAATTCCTAATTCCTTTCGTTTTGTTTGCTTCACAAAGATCACCTACAGATATTTATGTTTGAAATCCCACATTCTAACATCTAAAGACATTACGGTACAAAAAAGATACTGCGGCTATCGCTACCCATTGAATATGATTTGTGCGCAGTTTCGCAAAATGATTATGCGACAAATTCCAAAATACATTTAAAGAATTTTATTAGCAAAATAATGTATTAAAAAGTAAAATATTTCATTTAGTTTCCGTCAAAGATACCGTCTACATTTACCTGTGACATTTAGCTGTGTCATTCCTGCCTACAGTGGAAGCGGAATGAAAACAACGGGCGACCGTTAAATTAATATCATTGCTTAATCTTTAACAGGTATATATCAGATCTGAGAGGGCTGACTTGCTGTCCTCAGCCACCTTGAATATTTATGACCACTGATAACAAAATGAGCTAATTGCTCTAATTGATAACACATAGGAAGTTCAATTTAGGTAATACCGCAGTGTTACTTAGGTAATATGTTTTGTGCTCTTTTGTTGAAGTGAAGAAATCACAGGTACACTTTTAACTGTAAACTGACTGTACGTATTCGGTCTCAATGAGGGTAGATTCAAAGCAATTTCAGACTGTAAAGTAACCCGATTATTTACAGTCTTGTCAACAATCCGATCATATTATATTTGAAAATGACTTAAAAAATAGCCATGACGAGACATAAAAAGATCACTTTTGTTTTCGTATACGGGCAGGCCGTGATGTTTTTTTAAAGGAGTTCACAATATTCTGCAAAAAGGAAACACATAAATAAGTGCAAGAAATTAAGACTATTATTATCAATGACAACAAAAATAATGAGACTACACAACGCAGCAAAATGCAAAGGTAAGAAAATGCATATTGTCGTTGAATCCATTTCCTAATAATTGTAATGCTTAATAATAAATCAGCAGTAAAACTGTATAAAGTACGTTAATCATGTGTATTTTAAATTAATATTCCCTGACTTAATAATACCCATCGTTTCAAAAAGGTTTCCAAATCATCACAGGCGAGTTTTTAAAACGTGTGTTAACATTTATCTTATTCCTAAAGTGTTTTATGTCAAAAACAGTAAATCGTTTTGTAAATATTAATTGGGAAGGGATGAAAAGTTACAAAGCCCTATAAAAGATGCTCAGCGTCTGTATTCTGAAACGAAAATAGGAGTATATGCGTGACACAAATGGAATGTAAAAATGTTAAGCGGGCCGTTGTTTTGTAGAAAATAACATTTATTTCTAGCAAATGCAACACATACCGTGACCGTATACATATAGCTGGCAACAACCATTAGGAAAGCAGAAAAACCTTGGGCAGCACAGATAAGAATGGCAGTTTCACCAAACATACCTCTAGTGTTGCTGATTAATTTGGGCAAATTACGTTTACAAATATAATCTAATTCTCTAGACTTGGCATATAATATACATATGTTCAGTGTTCTGCTGAAAGAAAAGACAAAAACAAAACTCATCTAAATTGCATTAACTGAAACTCAAACGTTTAGGTTATACCCATTTTATCATCAAAAGGAAATTCACCTACATATATTAATAACTTAAAATATTTTCTGTACTATTTAAGTGTTTGTGTATACTTTTTAAGACAGAGACAAAGATGAAGTTCCATACTTATGAACGCATTAGTAACAAGAAGAGCGACAACACTTTCCAGAATGTTTCAAAAGAAAGATGATGAAACAAAAGAAAATTGCACCTTGGAACTCTCATACTATCAAGACTTTATTCCGTTTTCTGTATCTGTCCTTGTTTTTAAGAACAATATGTAGGCATAGCCTCTGAGGTTGATCAGTCACTGAGAGAAGCCATCAGCCATACAGTCAGACCAGTCACAAAGAATGGCTTTTTGGTCGTTTTTCATCTTCAGGCAGCTTCTCCAATGCCTGCCGAGACCAGTAGTTTTCACTGCGAAGTGAAAGTGTGATGCGGTGAGGCGCCTAAAACAGTTGAATAACCAGACTTTAAAATAACAAAGGGCACCGCCATCGGTTTTGGCTACGTCACGAATACACAAAGTCAGTGTCCTCCCTCATTTCTCACCTCCTTTTTCTTAAAAGTTTTTTTTTCTGAGATTGGTCACACGAGGCGATCGCCTTCATTGTTTCTCTGGATTGTTGTTCACCATCGGCCCATACAACCCGTTGCCATACCCTTGTTCTTTGTGCAGGGCTGTCCTGTCCCTTATGAGGTCACTGAAGGCGTAGTCCATGGGTGGCCGAAAGCCCAAAGTTGGCATGAGCCCAGCAGTTGAGTAAGGAGTCATAAAGGCAAGCCCTCTGCTGTGGGCCGAGTAAGCCAGGCGCAATGGGTTTAGTCCCAAATGGGTGCTTAAGGGGTAGGCGCTGGGATCTGCGCCAAAGTGCGGTGAATTAGGTTGCAGTGGGGAAAAGGCGGATCTGTTGCTCAGAGTCCCAATGGCAGGTGTCATGGCTCCCGGTAAAATCGGTCGCGGAGTGGAAGCTGCAGGTGGTTGGGCACTCTGAAGTGCCCTTTCCGCTGTCCACGCTTCTTCGGGGGCTTTTGATTGTCCGCTGTTGTTCAGAATCTGTTCGATGGCCTGGACCACGTCTTTGCCGCAGCCCTGCAGCACCAGTTCCAGAACACTCCGTTTGTGAGTGGGGAATACTCTGGTCAGAATGTCGATTGCGTTCATCTGGCGAGTGGCGGTGGATGAAGGAGAAGGCTCCTGTTCGTCTTTATCGGTTTCTGACCCAGAGTCGGAGCCCAGGGGACTAATGGAGCCGGGCGTGTCTTCTCCGTCTTTCAGAGTTTTAGGAACAGGAGAACTTACAAAAGACTCTCCGTCCCCATTCTCCGAACCCGAACCATGACGCACCTCGGGCGAGGAGGTCCCAGCCACACTCCCAGTCACCGATTCGCTGTCCGTGGAGACCGACTTGCCCAGAGTCTGCTGCGGGGTCATTGACCTTGACATTGGGGTCTTCGGAAATAGCTCAAACTTTTGGATTTTCGAATCTACAACAAAGGGAAAGAAAATGCGTATTGGTTACAGCAAATCACCTAAATTAACATGTATACTTAGGGTAGTCCGGTGGAGAAAAATTCAGTTTCGAATAAAACAATTAAAGCGACACAACTTTTGTCAAAATGAAGGAAACCCGGAAATCACATCTAAATGATTAGTTTTTCTAGTACACGTTTTACTGGATGCTGAACGAGTTAATATTAATGTTTCTGCCCAGACAGTAATCTTGCTTTCCTGAGTGTTATTATGCGTTATTAATTTTAAGCTTCTGTGATCAAGGTCTCTATAGGCCTACTTTCGCAACCTACAAAAAAACATTACTGACGGATGCTTATTTTGTGCTAAAACTAAACTAATTTAGAACTTCTTGAATAGGCATAGTGATAACTGTTAAATGAAACCCTTTGCCCACTCTAATGCCGACGACAATGGTCTGTTTACAGTCTTAGATGTTGCCAAAGCTTCTGTAACACTACTGTTGAAAACAAACGAGTAGCAATTCTAAAACTGTGAGGAAGTAGCTTTGCTTATGGGCGTCTTAAACGTGTTAGCAAGGCTCTGTTGTTATTATTAAGTGTAACAGCTTTCGAAATCAATCGGCGATCAAGATCAAATGCGGTCGGCGCTCACCAGAGTTAGTGTCGCTGCAGACGGAGCCAAAAACTTCGTAATTCTGTCTAGGCGGGATGATGCCGTTAGCAGCCGCCAAGGCGAGTCCCTCTGCGGTGCCGTAGAGGAGCTGGAGTTCTCTGGCTTCGTTTTCCTCTTGAGCCTGCTGTCTCCTGAGAGCCACCTGCGCGGCCATCACCCGCTGCCTCTCGGCAATCAGAGTGCACTTGGCGCACATGCAGTCCTTCCAGCGGCAGTAGCGCTTATGGCCCTTCAGAGCGGACACTACTCCGTGATTCCTGCAACGAGCGCATTTAGGAGTCCTGGGATACTTCTCGGCTGTCCGCAGCAGTAGAGGGGGCCCACGGAGGAGGCTGCTGGCCATGGACACGGGAATTGAGGCTGCAGCGGCACCAGGATGGACCTGGGATCCTGCCGGTGCTGTAGGAATTTCTGATCTCAGCTCCATTTCCTCGTATATTCTATTATTGTTATTATTAATACTATCGATATTTTCTGTCACTCACTGGACTGTTATTATTTTGCGATTTTAGGCACCAAAATCCCCAAATGCATAAATTCTTCAACGTTTTAAAGCGGTAAGCTTCTATTTTCTTTTCTTTTTTAAAATTCGTTCTCTTAAGGTACAGTTGACAGTTCTAGAAAAGTTCCCAGACTATTACATTGGAATAGGCTGAGTGCCAAAGTCATTAGACTTCTGAATCAATTATTTAGCTGTCCAGAACGAAAAACAAAAGTAGCTCCTCGATCAAGGATACACAAATATTGATTTTGTCTCATCCAGCGAAACTCCAAAAACTAAAATGATCAACTTTTGTTTCTGTCGTATTTCTTCTTATTTTACCAAAGCAACCCCAGCCACAGTACCGACAACCTGAAAGACAACCTTATCTAGAAATACTGCCTCAGCTAAAGTTTTCCATGCCTGACACATCTACAGGCGCTGCTAATCCTCACGAATCCTGTCCATCTCCTTCAAAACATCGAACTTCTCTTAAGCGCCTGAGAACATTCACTTTGATTTTAAATCGCATTCCAAAAGGTCTGAGCGAAACATCACACGCGAGCTAAGAGGTTCAAACTCATAAAAATAACGAATACACTTTAACCTGAAAGACGTTTCAGCCCTTCTTTTAAAATCGTGTGTGTGTATATATATATGTAAAAATCAAAACCTTCTTCAACAGAATCCACGGCTTCTCGCCGCTCTTGGAAGAATAAATAATACCTGTTTAACTTGATGTCTCCAAAAATCGTAGAAGTTGCTACTGCCAAGAGCGTGAGACACTAACGAGCTCCAGAGATTGCCAGTAGATACAGATCTTCACTCTCTCTATTGTTGCGCCTACGTTTTCATTAGACAAATTTGACAACAATGTGGCTCCTGTCATTGGCCAAGGGGGAAAGGTGCGATCTGATTGGCTTATCACTTTTTTCAACTGTGTCCACCTGAGTCCTCTCTCAAGTAACAACAGTGTTTAAAATCTGAAGGAGTTCCCGCAGAGCATAACATTATACTGCTTATAACAATAACGCGCTTAATATACAATATTCACGTTTTACACCGAAAAATCTAAAAAAGCATCCTAATAAATGAAGCATATTACAACCAGTAAGAAAAATAGTTTGTTGCCCTTTTTATACTTTTAGCCATTATTTCTTAATTATCCAAATGTAGTATTTTTACCTAAATCGTTTTTTTTAATGGAAATATTACTTTAATTATGTCCAAGAGTAGTTATTTAAACGCTGGCCAGCCACGTTTGCTTTACATTTAGCAGTAGTAAAAGACATTCGTTTACTTCTAATTTTAAAAGCGACATAATAACCAAAGGCCTGGATGACGTCATCACAGACAGTGGTCCTACACGGTCGGGTAAGTCAATGCGTCTTACTAAAGATACAAGTTGTTTAGTTTGTTTAGAGATGCTCTTCTGCTCATTTTAATGATTCCCAATCCAACTTATGGTTCCGACCCGTTTTAAAAGATCATACCTTTCAAACCAGAACAAAAGCAAAGCATACCTTTATCTACACTAAAGCGTAAGAAGTAGACACTCTTGACATTTTTCCTGTAGCTGAACAAGCTGTGTCGCTAACGAAGAAACGGCAGGGTTTTTTTTTCGGTGTAATTAATAAGATCCAAAATATTGTACACTGCTTGTTTTTCATTTGGTTTCCGAATTATTTGCTAATTAATTTTAATTAGTTAAATACGCGTTTCTGTTCAATCGGGTAATTAATTAATTCATGGTAGGAGCACATCTGCATCAAGTCTGTGAAGCTTCGTCTTTTTCCGGTGGGCTGGCACAGCGATCGTCTGTGAACCATAACGTTCACTTTCCACCTTTGTTTGATTTTTAGGTTGATTTTCGTTTTTGAATAGGTAATGATATATAACCTACATAAATATCTGAAAACTGTGACTTTTCAACGCTCCTTTTTAAAAAATATTTTAAAATGTTAAGTGTTAAGAAATCTAGTATTGCAAGCGTGAAATAAAGCACGCGCCGCAATCTTAGACTTCAAGATATTAATCAAGCACATTAATAATTCTTAAGTCTTTTTCTATTATTAAACAAGTCTGTTAGCAAAAGTTAAAATTTAGCAATCGCAATCACTGCTATCATATAACGTTATCAGCTTCTCGGATTTAAAGCGCAAAGCTCCAAACGGAAAATGGAAAATTCAAATAGCACATGTTAAATACAATCTACGCTTCCTAAAATAATTAATGGGTAAGTGAAGTTTAAAACCGAACGCATCGAACGCAAACTGGTATTTTCCATTTCATTTAATCTGCAGTCGAGATTAATCAATATCGTCACCCACGTCTGTTAAAACCTACACACTACATCAAATGATCATTCTTTAAAAATAATATTTTATAACCTATAATTTTAAGTGAAGGATTGTTATAAGACACACACCACAATTTAAGTATACAGTCTGTCTTACTATAGTTTTCCAAATAGTATTAATCTGTTGACAATTTTAAATAACCTAGACCGATGTGTATGCGTACTCAGTCAATAGCAATAGTGGTAATGAGGAATGATTCAGAGTAAGAGAAACTTGAACAAAGACAATAAAAGCAAAATTCCTTACGGATCAACAAATATCAGAAAATCAAACTAGTATCGACATCAAAGTAACACAATGCGGAACGTTAAAATGATTCGGAAAGATGTGGTCTCTTTGTTATGCAAGAAATATAACAAGGGCACATTTTAACCGCAGCCGGCTAGCTCTCTAACATTATCATCCCTACTACAGTTTGGTGAAATTAAAAACTGGATTTACTCAGTTTTGGCTTTTTAAAACATAACTGAACTTCTAAAATATAACGCTTCGAGGAGGACGTGTGCTCCAGACTATACGTGATATCTTGACCATTTATTTTAGCCCATATTTAAGAGTTCCGATGATAATATATTTTTTTAATATCGCCTCCATTACACCAGAACAGTGAAACCTAGTTTGGAGGAAGATTCTGAATACTTACGTATTTTTTGGTGCTATTTTTAGTGGTGATGCTTTAAGGATAAATGCAAAAAAAATGCGAAAAAGTGAAAAATATCTAAAATATAGTAACACTTTTATTCAGATGGCCTGTAACAATTTCCCAATGTATTTTTAGAATCACGGACACACTTTCATTTAAATATTAAAAATCAAGCTATGTAACTTACATTTTTGTTCGCTTTTAACTATTTCATTTTATATTTCCCGCTGAAGTGCGTGAATATGTCGATATACACCGAGAGTGTGTTAAGCGTTTGAGAAAAAATAAAGCAGACTAATACTACAGTAACAATGATTACTTGGAAGAGGCCTCTTTTTCGGACATTTTATAAATGTGATTTTAAGATGTGTTTTGTCATAATTAATGATCGTCGCAGAAAAGTTCCAGGTTCAGATTGTACACTTCGCTTTTGTCTGAAATAAAAATGCGTCTTTAAACATTTGCATTCGATAGATTCGTTTTTATTCCCTAAAAAAGTTAGATTTTGCTTCTGTCAGTCTATAAAAGGTAACTTTTTGTGTTACAGTTAACAAAGCCCTTCTCAATCAGTAATGGTCCCGGGGACTGTCAGTTTAATTCTGACAGGGTTTTGCTGTACAACACGGCTGACACGTCACGTTGACGTGATGAAAGTTAAACAGGATAAAGAACCTTAATCACTACCTGGATTTAGGAAAAGACTACCTTATTACACATTTAATTTATATGGATTTAATGGACTTAGACGGGAGTTACCAAATTTCCACAGATTTATTTTCTTGGAACTGTGAAACTTCAGAGCTAAATACCATTTTTTTTTCTAGGAGGTGACACATTTTGAAGAAGCGGGTTTATTATTAATTTAAATTCCCCGCTATCATATCGCATAAAATACAACGTATTTTCTTATTCTGGTATATAATAATAACAACAACAACTAATTTCCCTGGAATGCGACTTATTTTATAATAATATTAAACATAAAATAGTCCTTCCATAAAAAACAAGCGAAATATGTCTAGAAATTTACGTTTAGACAGTGTTTATTCATTCGAATCACACAAGTATGACAAAAGTGCTGTATATTTTTTCTGTTTATAATGTGACACTTTGGACTTTTCAGCCTATTATGGTCACACAAAAAAGAAGAAAACGTCGTATCATAAACAGAATAAAATGCGCAATTTGTTCATTAACATGTTGAGATTTGCGCCGGACACTCCTGCCAAGAGCAGTTGCCTATATGGGCACAGACTAGCGAGATAAACTACAGTTTCGGATAAGTGTAGGTATAGGCTGCGCAAACAGCATGGCTTCTTTTTGCTGCTCACCGGCACCCACCACCATCTAACTATTGCTTCTTACATATAATACAATGATACACATAATTGTATTAAATGGTCGTGTATGTGAGAAGACCTTTCTAAAATAATTATCGTTAGATCTTATCTGCACCTGAACGTGTTGACACTGCTTAAACTATAGTTACGAAATGTCATTTGGTTCCTATCGCTTTTATAGTTTCACGATATACTATTGTTGTGGGATGGGAAAAATGTTTTTTTAAAACGCTATATACATATGCATAGATGACACAGAAACTGGCCATCTTTCCGAGTTTCATAAGCAATTGTTTCCATTAGTTTTGACGGGCTTGTAGATATATCGTGAGAGCCGCCTTGCTTTCAAAACAAGGCGATGGGTGGTCTTCATCACAAACCTGTATTTGTGTGCTTACGAACGCTCTTGAGTCCAAAAACAGGCTTTACCAAAAGCAGCTCCCTTCATTAAATCGATACTGACTGCATTCATGCATTCGACAGTTAACAATATATTTGGACTGCACGGTGATTCTGTTCCGTATGCGGCTTCAAACAAACAAGTCAACAGAAAAAAAATGGTCTGCAGCCCTTTTACACTTACTGAGCCATGGAGCCTCTACATTTCATTTCTTCTGCTCACAAAAGTAAAGACTTAATTGGCAAAGATATATTAATCATCTTTTGTTCACAGCAACTCCTCCCCCGTTCCCTATCCCTACGTACCGTCTCACCCTCTATAGTGGCTTTTTGTACCTTTTGCTGCAGATGGTACTTCTAATGTACCTGCTAATGTAAGTGCTAGCTCTCGCAGTCTCTCGGCTTTTCATGTGTTTCACGGGTCCTGCCCTTGACTTTTCCAGTTGTTTACACACTGAATCACTGTAAGCAAATGCCATCTGTTTCCCTACCGCTTTCATCCGCACCTTTAATTACCTAACCAAGAGACTAATAGAGATGATATTAAACTAAATCTTTTTGACATTAAAAGTAATTATCTCGGAAGCGATCTTACATGAATGAAAATTGCCGTCTACAAAGTAATTCTATGTTCATTGTAAACCTCCCCCCCTCCCTTCAAACGCACATCTTCTGTCCTAAAATAACCAGGGTAAGTACGCCATAGCAGCTCAGAAGGCAAAGCGTTTTAAACAGTTTCTCTCCCTTTACACCTCACTTCGTTCATAATATGATTAAACTATTTTCGGGAGACTCATATTTAGCATAACAAATTACAAAACAGTTAGATATCGTTCGTTTTGGTTCACTTGCTTATTCGTTTGATCTTAAGCGCTTTACAGATTATTCAATTTATCTTGTAGTAAACTGTTGTGATTAAATTAATAGGAGGAATAAATTCAAGTGTTAGACTATTTTTGTTTGTTTGGTACAGGCCTACCTCGCACGTACTGTATAAATGTTTTTTCCTTCCTTGATGGTTATTGCTACCCAACCTCTAAAACAAGAGAGGTGCATCGTTTCAGATTAAGATGAGTAGTTTATGTAATATGGAGTGGAGTATGAATTAAACCTTTAGCCACAAGCCCACTTAAACAATAGCCTACATTAAATAGATGAATCCTCTATACAGATGTAGGCCTACTCTTTTGGTAACCTATATCCCCACAGTGCTCAACTAAAGCACTTTTAATTAGGCTGGCTGTTTTGTAATTTCCAATTAAATACCGATGAATAATTAGATGTGAATGGGGTCACATTTTAAAATTCAACATTCTTTTTTTAACAGTTCATTACACCCATGCAGCAAAAAATCTATGCAAAGCTTTCTCTGCTTTTTTTTTTACAAAATGCTACAGATGACTGAGTTTTTACACCTTTTTAGATCTTCACAAAGGGGACGCTTGACCCAACATATGTAGCAGCATGTTTCTGCTACCCGAGCACCCTGGTGAGGCATTCGAGCGACCTTTCTGGATGCTGTTGCCCCGCCTGGGCACTGTTGGACCCGGATTGCCTCCCGGGGACTCCCGCTGAAACCGCTGAGTCTATTAAGCAAAGCAGAGGTTAGAGTAGCAGATACGGGGCGCACAAGCAGCGCAGGATTTGGGAAAACCGGTGCCTATTTACACGCTTCATCTCCTCACCAAGTGCTCATTAGGTTGTTAACCTCTAGTTCACACGAAAAGCTCCTGTGATGAAGTTCTCTTTAGCAAATGGAAGCATCCACGTCAAGGCAGTTAACAAAGCCTTAAAATAACTGCACAAAATAAGCTTTTATTTGTTACTCTGAAGTTTTCTTTGTGCGAGGCACTTGTGAACACACACACAAAGATTTCTTATTTGATCTAAAAAGTGAATCTATAGAGAGCGCATTCTTTGATCTTAACTAATTTAACACAGCTTTATTATTTTTTTTTGTAAAATAAGCAATTTCTTTATATTTAAACGTAAGCTAGGCCGTACCGCATTGGGCACAAAGGACATTGTGTTGTTCAATGATCCCTCTAAGGCAACCTGTTGCGTCTAAATACAGGTTGGCGCTATTTGAGAAAGTGAAAAGGTGACATTTTCTATGGCCAGTGCTTGCGAAGGAAAATATTGTTTTGTTTTGCACGTGTACGGTGTCTTTTAATTAACTCCAAAAAAAAAAAACCCGCACAGAAACAGGGTTTAACATTGAAGGGAATAGAGGAGATGGATTAATGCAAAGCCTAAAGAGCCTCATTACCGACCTTGAGAGAAAATGTGCGTTTTATTTTTAAGAACCCAGATACACTTCCTCAGGCCGCAATTCATTTTCCACTTTACGCTTATTAATCACTTACGCAACGATCCCCACCGCCGACACAGCTTGGAAAACTCTTCCACCTTTATCTTCAGTAACAGCAAATAATACAAATGTACTATTATTATTATTTTTTGCTCAGGGCTTTACATTTTGTACCTGTTCCAAAACTTTATATTACCTTCGTGCTATGAATTCCGATAAAGACCCTCCGTGGCAATTCTACTGCACTGCTCGGGGCTCTGTACGAAACAAACTTGAGATATTTTCCACAGAGTGCCGTGTAACACCGCAGATACTCAACAAACACTCCAACTTCAGAAATCTTTTTATTCTTCGTGGCTATATAATAATGCTCCTATTTCTAATTGGGAAATTGCCAAAGACGGACTCGAATGGCTTTTCTTGCCCCCGTAATTCCCACAGCTATTGTATGGATTTTCAGTCTTTTTAAATGTCCACTTCTTTTCTTTTTCTTACTCCCCTCTGTTTCTGCAGCCCCTGAGGCACGGATTAAACTGCCAGGCAATTTCCCCTCATCACCTTATTGAAGGTTAAACGCACTGCGAGTTAATGTGAATAGAGCAAGTATACAGAACTGCACGGTGAAGCGGGAGAAGGATGAGTGTATTCCTAATTTGAAACACCGGAGTTTTAGGAATGATTTAAATGTCACATGACACTCTTAAATGTTGTTCGTGAAGAAAAATACCCTTTTTCCACTTGACCCCAGCATTTATTTGCATGCGTTTGAAGAGTGACGTCTCAATTAGGATGAAATATTGCGCAAATCGAAACAAATTCCAGTAGTTGAATTAACGTTAGGTAAATTTGACGTTTTAATAAATGTAAATACGTATGTGTCAAGGTACGAGTACTGTCTTGTGTGATTTTGTGAGTTTGTCGTTGCTATTATTATATTATGTTGATTCACAGGACTGAGCAATCTCCCTTTAAATCGGAATAGCTCGAGTTATACATAGGCAAATAAGCATTTTAACATTTAACACTGCTTAACACTTAACAATAGCTGTACTATTTTTGTCTATTTCAGGTATACCCGGCAATTAAAATGCAGACTCCATCCCCATACATCTGCTTCGTCTTTGCCAAATGAATTGCCAGGAAAGGAAAATAAAAAAGAGACTGCATTGAGATCACAGATGGAGTGCAGGTTTTTGCAAGAAATTTGAGAAACACCATTGTCCCAAATCAAAACTCAATGTGTTGCCCTACAATGGGGTCCGCTTTGAGCCCCTCCGCTTCAATCGGACTTGTTTTTTAAACTTGAAGTGTTCAGCACAAAGACTTGCCTCCTAAATGTCACAACCGCTCCAGTTCCAAGTGTGGCTGCTTGGAAAGGGTGTAAAAAAAACGAAAAGGAAAAGAACACAATTATGAAGCAATAATTACTCTACTTCAGTTCGCACGCCATTGCTCCCATAGAAACATCTTAGCCCCTATTTAATTCTTTATTCCAGAGGATGATAATCCGAATACCATAGGTTCCAGTATTTTTAAGGGGGCTGGAATGGGGAGGAGGTGTTGTAAATAAATGAATATTCATTATGATTTGAATTTCAAAGTGTTATTTAGAAATATTTATGTTTTTAACCACATTTTAATAGGACTTCTATCATATTGCTTCCCCTTTATTTATATACTAATATAGATACTCCTGACAATAATCAAGGGTTTATAGTTTCTGTGTACGGATAAACTGCTCCAAAAGTAATAATATGCAAATTCACTAAAACTCTTTAGAAAATCATGTTTTCGCTATCTTCCCTCAGTCGTTAGGACTATCATCTAATTTTAAGGAAATCCAACTTGGCACTTCTTTTAATCCGATTAATTAAAACGAATAATAAAGAGGACTAACTATTTAGGTCATTAAATAAGTTGTTCTTCTAGTAATATAAAAAACGTTAAATGTACAGTATGTAACATTTTCTTTCCATTGCAGAAGTCGTTAGTATTGAATGGCTTCTCAGTGTGAAATAGATCTTTTATACTGTATGTATATTATAGGATGTGTTTTTTGTCACATTACAGAGAAAATGTACGTGTCTTTGTAAGATTTTGTTGTATAAGATTCACCGTTTGGACAGTGATGATTAAATTACCAAATCACAAGCAATTAAAAACATACAGTGGCATAGTGCCTAATCTCATAGTCTTGTCAACGTTGTTTTTCCAAAAGGTGTATTAAATGGTATTTAGTAAGATTATGTCAGTTTTAAAATATCAAAATTATAATTTATCGATGCTCTATAGTGTTTACATCTCCGGTTCAAGTCGCACTACCCGAGTAAATTTCTAAATAATTTATCATTAGAAGTATAATTACAGTCTATAATTAATAGATAAACACGTTTTAATTTTTTGTCCTTTAGTCTCCTGACAAAAATAACTAAATGAAAAAATAAAACTATTTCTTAATGTAAAAAAAATAGATGTAATAATGTGTGATAAATAGACGCACATATAGCATAAATCCTTAAGTGGCTGCCTGTATATATCTCGAAGATTCCTAGGAAAACAACACCTACTAAAACGCCATTCAGAAGACTGCTTACTTTTAACATTTTAAGGAAAAGGTTAAGGAAAAACATCTCTCATTATTTTCTTTTGTAATAACTAACCTCATGTTATTTTTTATTTGACGAAATTACGAATATTGCAATCATTTATAGGAGCCTATTTTGAGCCTTCATAAACTGGCGATTATAAATGACCATCCATCTTAATTACAATGGTTTTGTAATAGAATAATTATTATTTTTAGAAAGCTCCTTTCATAAAAAGTTGGTTTTGAATGCCTAAAACATACATTTACAGAAAAGTTATTAAAACCGTCACAAGACAAGTACAACATATATGTTGTGCACGGAATTAAAACAAGAATAAAGACCCTTTGGCGAATGCAGACGACAGTCCAGGCCTGTTAATATCAAATCTGTTTTGTAGTTGTCTTTCAATAATATCACCACAGAGATACGCTGTGGTCTGTTGAAGTGTGGTTTTCCGTTCTTATTGGTCGACTTCGATTTAAGACTCGAGGTAACTGTTCATCCGGTGAATCGCGAGTAATGTGATCTTGTTCCAAAATAAGAGGCCAAAGTGCAGAAATTCATTTTCTCCTATTGTTCTTCCAAAAACCGAAACCGTCATCTGGAATTAATAGAATTTTATAATTTCTTAATGATATTTAAGATATTTAAATTAACGTGTTCCGCCTCTTCAACAATTAGACAACCAGGAGGAATGGATTACCTGGATTACGTTTTAAAAGTGTTTCTTTATTCTACTTTAAAACAGCATATAAACAATTCTGTAACGCATATTCGAATATTTTGACACTTACATTCCTTTCAATAACGATCTTTGCATAAAGATTTTTGCGAAATATATAATTTGTCCTACTGCTTATAATAATAATAAGGTAAAAAATAATGCCTAAGAGACAACTGTTCTCCACTGGCATTATGGAATTTTCTACCGTTTTGATCCCTTACTCCAGAAGATCTTTTCGATCCAGTCCTTTCTATGAAGTATCATTTAATTTTATTAATTTCATTAAGATAATAGTATTTAATATCAAAACTACACACAGTGTACGTATACTGCAGTCTGGTGTCATTGCGCCTTCGCACAATATTGGTCATTAGCCTGTCACATAACCCACCTCATACTTCATAACTCGCTGCCTGTTTACACTTAGAATTTACAGAAGGCAAGCGTGTGTCGAAAGCCTTAACAAAAATCTGCCTCTAGCTAAAATATAACAAACATGCTGGACAAAACTCATACGATCATTCCTACTACAATATGCATTTCCCGAGAGTAACAAGTTAGAAAAAATTCTATCAGAACCTTTTTGGACACCGCAATTTATATGAATTAAAACATTAATACAATAAAATCGTAGTATGCTGTTTCTGAGAGGAAAAAAAGCTGCCAAAACTTTATTGAATTCTTTAATGTTTCTCCAACACTGTTAGCCCTTTATGAATATTAGAAATGGGGTACTCACATTAATGTTTAGTTAACTAAATAGGTTTTCTCAAGTAAACTTAATGCACTTAACGCGGTTCTGTTATTATTGACCATTTGAAGATTTATTTTTTTGCCCGAGTAGAAGTTGAGAGTTAATGCTGACGCTAGGGCAAAGAAACAGCACATTTCACGTTCCGTTCACATTAACTGATACAATATCCATATCTAAAAGTTTAGCCACCAATAATAAGATATGTTTAATAGCAAACAACAAGCCTAGATAACATTGTTTTAAAAACGCAATGAAAAATAAAAGTAAAATAGAGCTTTGATGGATATATTATGAGTCTTGTTGGTTTTGGAAAAAAGCTTCCGTGTATCGGTGCGAGGTACCAGGTGCTAACACCTGGCATCTGACCTTTCCATAACAATCTGCTTTTCCAAAAGCATTTATATGAAGATCAAATTCATTAACGTTATATCTTATAACTGTACTTTTAATTCAACTTGTATGTATATTTTTCTTCTGTAGGACACTGATTTCCAACCCTGTGGCACTGGCAGAGCTACTGTGTTTACCAAGGCCCCATACTGACTAGCTGTACTCTAGATTTGTGTTGGGATCAGGGCAACCCACTGTAGATAACAACATTCATCAGTGAAAAATCAGAAGGGCTTTAAAAAAATGTACTGCATCCACGCGGCTACTTTCAGACTATAATTTTATGTCATGCTGTATTTTTGTTGAAGCTATGCCCACCTCATATAAAACAAGGCAAAGCTATGGAAAGAGTGAAAGACCTGTTGTATGTCCACCTATGTCTATACAGTCTACATTTTAATTATCTGTTTCATTTGCAGCACATTTCTTTAAGAGATTAAAGGCCGGGGAGCTATTAAATTAGGGCTGTGTGAAGCAGAAAATTCCACCACACAGCATGGGGAGGGGGGCTTCATACAGAAAGTAATTTCTCCAGAGCAATGTGGGCACTTTTCTTTCAGGCCTGCATCTCCTTTTGGACTTGGAGAAAACTGCAGTCCTGTGTACATCCTAACAGAGCACTGCTACGCTGAAACCATTAAGTTATTTGCTGTGACAGTTGGAGTATCCCTGGAAATGATCAATATCCATAAAAAATAACCTTTTTTGAAAAAGCATCTTTGTTCTCATGACTGTCTTAGCAGTGCCATCCTTAAAATGTGGGAATCTGGTATCACAAGAGGGTGGGGTCGGACATGACACTGCCAGTTCAAGTCTCTGTCACTGTGTTTTCATTGTTTTTGGTTGCTCACCAAAGCGAATTCTACATTATTTCCAATATTCCAAATCATGTGTTCATACCATGCTACAGTGACAACTTCGTACCTGGATGGGAGACCTCCAGGGAAAAACTAAGGTTGCTGCTGGAAAAGGTGTTATTGGGGCCAGCAGGGAGGGTGCTCACCGGTCTGTGTGGGTCCTAATGCCCCGGTATAGTGACAGGAGCACCATACTGTAAACAGGCGCTGTCCTTCGGCTGAGATGTAAAACTCAGGTCCTGACTCTCTGTGGTCATTCAGAATCCCAGGGTGTTTCTCAAAAAGAGTAGGGGTGTAACCCTGGTGTCCTGGCCAAATTTCCCATTGGCCATTTCCAATCATGGTCTCCTAATAATCCCCATCTATGAATTGGCTTCATTACTCTGCTCTCCTCCCCACTGATAGCTGATGTGTGGTGAGTGTTCTGACGTACTATGGCTGCCGTCACATCATCCAGGTGGATGCTGCACATTGGTGGACTGGTGCTTTACCTGTAAAGCGCTATATAAGTGTAAGCAATTATTATTTTTATTATTACAGTTTGATTTAATTATCCCTTCAACATGAATGCAAAGCTGTACTTGAATTCAGCCATGATGGAACACTGTAAATTGTATATACACCGATAACAGCTTTAACAAAGTGAAAAATTAATATTACACATTTAATATATCTACTATTTATCACAAAGCTGGTGTATCATAAGGTCCACAAGAGCACTGTGGACCTTATGATAAAAGGGCAGGTTAATGATGCTACTGCAGAGCCCTCAGGAGCAACTTGCACAGAGTATTTTCTATCCTGTGCCAAAGATTAAATACGCTTATTGTGGCTCTTTCAAGATGTGTGCTAATCTGCAGTTATAGATGCCTAATGTTTTTGGCTGGGATTCCTTCCACTGCAAGAGCTTTTTAAAAAACAGAGTAAAAAAAGTTTTCCATTGAACCTTTAGCCTCCTTTTTTACTTTCTGCAAGAAACCCAGCAAAGAGACTTGGAACCTTTTGTGCAGAACTGTTTAAGATGTAAAGATTCTGTTTCTTTGGCGGTTTCTTTCAGGACCAGTGTCTCTGAGAAAGTAAACTTTGAATGACCTTCCAGGTTAGTTTAGTCTGGGATTCCACCAGTGCAGGGTGAGTGGATTTAAAAGGCTGATCCTTTGGGACCCAAATTCGTTCAAAGGAGAGATCACTGGCACAAGGAATTCTCTCTCTCGCCAGGGGGCAACATTCTTGACCTGCAGGGACTGGTTAAACATTATTGAATGCTTCCCCTT